GGGAGCGAGACAGGCGCGGGCGGGGGAGAGAGATGATAGGGGGGAGGGGAGTAGTGGGTTTATTTTAAATCGGTAGTTAGGGTTCCAGGCCTCCCCGGAGATGATGATGCGAGAGCGAAGGAGCCGTAATTGATTATACGATCCTCCGGGAGACAGGCGTTAACGGATGACTCTCGCTAACGAGCATTCCTACTTCCCTACCCCTTTCTTCCTCCTTCTACTGTACCCACCATCGTTTCGCCACCCTTTCACCCGACATCGCACCAATTTCGCTCCCCTACCACCACCACCACCACCACCACCACCGCCATCACCCTTCTCGCTCGCGTTCGCGCCGCCCCTCCGATTTCCATTTCCACCAACTCTACGCAATACTCTACGCCGCTCTTCGCCTCGATAAAACGTCCCTCCTCGTCGGACGAGAACAATAGTGGAAGGTTGAGGCGAGGCGAGGGGAGGGGAGAGGCGTATATGCGCAGCGCGGACAGACAAGTAGCGAAAACCGCAATTTGGATAAGTCATTTGTCGAGACGTCGAGAACGAGCGGGGGGGTCCACAGACACGATTTGTCGACGCTGCGCCAATTTCTTCGATTACCAAGTGCTCCCTTCTAGAACTGTCAGGGACGGTTCCCTTTTAATTCTCCCTTCTACCATTAACATTGAATGGCGAACGGCCATTCAACCGCTCTTGAGATCGAGAATATGTTCGAATACGTCGAATTGGCCTCCACGTTCTCTGAACTGTTGCCCTAGGCCCCATACCCGGAATGGCGCCGTCCGAATTCGAAGCACGCATGGTGGAGTACGTAAAATTGTTGAATAAGGAGTTGAGAAGCGGTACACCGCCACCGATGGGGCACCGGCCGGGAAGCGCCTCTCCCCCGTCCTCGACGCCCTCGAGAGACGGGGCGTTCAGCGCCCTCGAAATGTCTCGATTGACCTTGTGGAACATGTACAACAACAACACCTTGTATCCAGGAGTGGGACACCAACCACCTATATCGCCTCAAACGTCTCATTCCCCGCTACCTCCGGCCTCCAGCCCTGAACCTCAGAGAGAAGCTCTTGATCTTGGGCTCAGGTAAGCTTACTCAACTTATTCCTCTCCGTTTTCTTTTATTTATTTCTTTTTTTTTTTCTTTTAACGTTTTCTTCGAAAACAAGTCGCGAGTTCTTTTTTCACAGGTCATCGCCTGTATCCTCACCGGCGAGGCAAAGTTCACCATCTTCGGGTGGTAGTATGCAAGTCAAGAGGGATACGGAACTGACTGTCGCACCTGGACCTCCTCCCGCTAAAAGGTTACTCTCGGATGAGGACAGTCCGCCCGAGAAGAACGCCCCACCCACTCTGGGCACGCACATTAAAATTTCAAATAGAGGTAAGATAAATCGAAGATAAATCTCTCTCTCTCTCTCTCTTCCTCTCTTTTTCAGCGCAATGACGAGATTCTTTGACTTTCCAGGTGATGGGAGGAACGGTGACAATTCCTTAGTAGTCAGTATGGAGTTGAACGGAGTGATGTATCAAGGTGTTCTGTTCGCTCAAAGTGACAGTAGGTCCACGAGCAGTACAGCGTCCACCAACAACAATAACGCGAAACCGTCGCGGAGTGTGGTCTCGTGAACGCTCAACGAATCGTCAACCCACCCGCGAATATAGCTCTATAGGACACACTCCCTCGCGTCGGTTATAAGTAGGAGCAATATTAAACAAAGAATCGAGAATATGCGGTATGAAGGGTGTAGGGTGCAAAGACTTGGTTTATCGGTCGGACGACCATTCGATATCGTATTCTCTTTCCTTTCGTTCAACCCAATGATATGATTAGGAAAGGGGGAAGGGAGGGGGGGAAATATACACGTGACAAAAGTAACGATACTTGTACGGTTGAACTAGAGCGGAAAGAATTTTCTTCGAAGAATCTTGACTGGAAGCACTCGGCCAAATAGATTAACCGTTTTTTGAGTAACGAACTTCCGAACCGGATCGATCATTTGTCTTTTTTCTTTTTTTTTTTTTCTCTTTCTTTCTTTCATTTATTCTTTCTTTCATTCGTTCTTCCTTTCGTCACTTTCATTTCGTCAATCACCGAATCAAAACATCTTAACTTATTTATTGATGCTGATTTCTCGAGATTTGAGCGGCGTTCGATT